GCCAGGCTCCACACACAGATTGCAACACTCTAGGCACAATAAGCATCCTGTCCTGTCTCTTACCTTTCCCTCATCTCCCTCTCTCTGTCCCTCAAATTCTCTCTTTGCTCCCTCAGCAGCCACTCTCGGAGGCGAGAAATGTCCATCCCTTCTGGCAGTTCAGGGGTATCCTTTAATTTTGCCAACTGTCGATGAAGCATTTTCTGAAAGTTGACACCAGATTTTAGATTGTATTTGTCTCAGAATGCTCTCACAACACTACATGCAGACGATTCATACTGGTCCTGAGCAGTAACACTCTGCTTCAGCCACAAACTGGGAAGGGAAGTGGAAAGAAAAGCTTCCCTCAGCACTTCAGGTGTTTGCGGATGACTCTCCTGCCTGTCCGCACCCCTGTGCCATCTCAACCCAGAACCAGGTACTTGTTTCTAAGCCAGAATGTCTGACATGCCAGCACAGCCCTTGCTGATTCTTCACTTAATGTCTTTCTGACAGAAAATAAATAAAACCCTAGCCCCCAGAACCACAAAGGGTACTTGCAAACCCTGAGTTTTACCTACCTGTTCTTGCTGGTACATTTTGTCAGCTTCTATCCTGAGCATGGTCAAATATTGCCTGTACTCATTGAACTCCCGCAGAGTGCAAACAACCTATGGAGAAACATCACCAAGGCTTGTCCACTTACCTATACCAGCTGCCTTCCCCACACAACATTGACCAGTGGGAGCTTCTCCACTGTGACTCCAGCCCTGCACAGTGCCTAGGGCCTTGGTTCTCACCACCCACTGGGGAGCTCTGCTCCTCACTGTCCTGCCTAGTCACGTGCTGCTTCTACAGCAGCATGGCACAGCCTGGCAAGAGCCTGTGGGAATGCCTGGAGTGAGATTTGGGCTCCTTTTGCCCCCAGGAAATCAGCACAGCAGCCCTGTACCCTCCACCTGCAAGGGAAGACTGCAGCAAATGCTCTGGCAGCCTCTCCCTCCCCTGGAAACTCTCCTTCTCAATCTAATGGACAACCTACTTTGCCATCACTAGTGATGTAGCCTCCTCTCCGCAGTCTGTGCAGGTTGTCTTTGCGGTTGTAGTAGGCCTGCAAATGTGGGTCATGCAGACTGTTGTACTCAGTGCTCAGTAAGCGGCAGTGTGGATCTCCCAAAGCAAAATAACCAGATGGTTGATGAAGCTGTAAAATGTATTGTCCACTGCATGAGCAGGATAGAAAAGACAAGGAGAGAGACAAAGACACTTCAGAGCTTCCTCAACCCATAGGGTAGTGCTTTCAGACCTCTGAGCTTTCAGGTAATTCCTGGCTCTGCACCTAACACAGTTCTGAAATCCAAACAGAAAAATGAGGTTGTTATCAGGAGAACCACAAAATAGCACTTGTGAAAATAGAAACTGAGTTTGAATAGCTGATACCAAAATCTGTCCCATCACTCTGAGGTCACAAAAAAACACCACAGACTGCAGGGCCAGAGCAGTGTAGGCAGAAAACGGGAACATTTCCCCTGCCCCCAAGCAAAGGAGGCATCCAAGCCAAGCAGGAAGGAAGGCAGAAAATTTCCACACCATTTTTTTTTTCTGTCCTGATGCTTCGAAGTTAGCAAATCTCTAAACCACTGTGAGCAGTCTCCTCAGAGCTAGGCGGTCCTAAGGAGCATGTTGGCAAACTTTGGCTCTAGGTTGTATCTGTGTTGGGAACATGTATCCAAGTCTGGAAGTAAAAAGATACTTAATACATTTGCCTAGAAGAGAGACCCTGGCATTGATAATACAGAGGAATAAAGCAGTTTTGAATCTCCCTGATGATAATGATTGTGACCCCTCTCATTTCTTCTCTAAGCTGCTCAATCTACCTGGGCAAGCTGATGATGAAAAAGAAGGAACTTTCCTGACTCTTTTCTGCTGCTTTTACCTTTTCTCCCAGCTTGGTCCGGTAGAAGACAGGGTTGGAGCCAGGCAGCAAAGGGATTTTGGCCCCAAGGGGGATGTCCAGCAGCTTAGTACATCCTACTACCATGTGCTGTCTTCTGCGCCCAGGCTGGAAAGATAGAGACATTTGTAGGCATTCAGGCCATGGTCTCAAGAACCTTCTTGCACAGTACTTACCAGAAATGCTCTTTGAAGACTCCAAATAGGCAGAGTGCAAAGAGTGGCCTATTCAAAAGCCTGTCACTGCTTCATCACCTCCTTCCCTAAAATCCAGTCCTTGTAAACCAAACTCAACCTCTCTGTACAGCACCCTCCCGCCTGCTGAGCTGGGATGCAGGAGGGCAGACAGACAGGGCTTTGGAGGACCTGCGCCGATCTCACCCCATGTCTGTCATTCCCACTCTCCTCTGCACTCCTGCATGCTGCAGAGCAGGCCTGCATGGCTGCCAGCTCCCAAGCTACACCCTCTCCCCCCGTCCAGCACACACCTCACCCCTTTTCTCCTTTGCGCTCAGAAGTCCACCTATATTTCGTAGTCCAGCAGTGAGATAGTGCTCCATGATCCCTTTCAGGAGCCGTTCTGGAGCTGTGGCCCTTCACTGGCACCACTTGCTCGAGCAGCAGCCAGCTCCAGCCACCTCAGGCGATATCCCAGCAATCAGCAGTCCTGTAACCATTCCGCATTGTTGCATTGCGCTGCTGTTCCGCTGCTGCCAGGACACCTCAGGCCAGCCCACAGCCCTGGCTTGTACTTGGCGTGCCAGAGAGGTCAATGCCAAGAACAACTAAGTCCTTGATGAGCCCAGAGCTGCGCTCTTGGCCTTTTCTAAGCACCAAGCACAGCACCCAAGCCTGTAAATCAGTAGTCACAGCCATGTCCAGGGAGCACTGCTGACCAGGCTGTCCTGCTCACTCTGTAGTGAGCATCTCCCTGCCCATAGAGCCCTTTTCCTGGGAAGGATCGACATGGTTGAGGCAGGACCCCAGGGTTCACCAAAATGGCCTTTGAGGCCCTAGGATGGTCTGAAGGGCACGTGGGACATCTAGGTGCCCCTGAAGACACACAGGGGGCTCTGGGTGATACTGAAAGGTGAGGTCTTGTTGTGGAAAAGACACAGTGACAAATGGAGGTCTTGGAGGCTTATGAAAAGGCAAAGAGGCAGCTTTGCAGGCCCTCAAAAGGCACGCACAGGGCTTTGGGAGTCTGGAGGCAAAAGGAGGTCCCATCTGGCACCCAGCACACCAGGCTGGAAAAGCTGCTGATCTAGTGGCCCAGACACCAGTACATATTAGGGGTTGGCCTGCTGGAAAGCAGCTCTGTGGAGAGGGATTTGGGAGTACTTGTTGACAACAAGATAACCATGAGGCAGCAATGTACCCTCATGGCCAAGAAGGCAATAGCCACATGCCTGCATCAGGAAGAGTGTTGCCAGCAGCGTAAGGGAGGGGATCGTGCCCCTCTCCTCAGCTCTGGGGAGGCAAATGGAGCACTGGGGGCAGTTCTGGGCTCCCCAGCACAAGAGGGACGTGGAGCTTTTGGAGAGGGGCCAGCGCAGAGTGAGAAAGATGATTAAGGGACTGGAGCAACTATCGTATGAGGAAAGACTAAGCAAGCGGGCCCTGTTTAGCCTGGAGAAGACTGGGAGGGGATTTTATCAATATGTATAAATATACTTGAGGGGAGAATGTATATGGGGAAGATGGGGCCAAACTCTTCTTAGTGGTGGTGAAAGGACAAGGGGTAATGGGTACAAATTAAAACACAGGAAGTTCCATCACCATTCGAGGAAGAACTTCTTTACTGTGAAGGTGCCAGAGCCCTAGAAACAGGCTGCCCTGAGAGGCTGTGGAGTCTCCTTCTCTGGAGATCTTCAAAACCTGCCTGGATGCCACCCTGTGCTCTGGGCGTCCCTGCTGGAGCAGGCGGTTGGACTAGATGATCCCTAGAGGTCCCTTCCGACCTCAACCATTCTGGGATTTTGTAAAGTCTCTCCATGCACCAGGCTGGCCATGAGCACTGTACAGAGAGCCTCTCTTGCTAAAGGAGAACACGGGCTGTGCACGGTGCCACTAATGAGGGCCAGAGCTAGGGGCTTTTGCAGGTGCTACAGCACTCTCAGGTTTTCGGCGCAGGCTAGAGCTAACTGCGGCTACAAGGAAGGGGCTCATCTGGCCTCCTGCGCCGGGGGCTCCCGAGGAGGGAGGCCGCAAGGAGAGCGGTCACGCGGCGCCGCACACACGCGCAGGCCACCAGAGCCGCTCCAGACTCCACCGTTCTCACCAGCCCGCGGCAGAAGGCGGT